CACATCGGTAGGTACTATGGTGCTTTTACACCAAAATACAGGCTCACAGCCTCATATTTTATGTTGCTGCTTCAAATATAATAGTGTCAAGGCAGTGAATGTTGATAAGGTAACTAAATAATGATAATCCAGCAGAGTCACATTGACGGTCCTGCTGAACTCAGACACTCACAAAGGTATTCCAGCTCAGTAGCACAGCAAAGGCTAACCAAAATGTAACAACACATTCAGAGGAAGCTTCCGTAAAGTTCACCCTCCCAAGTCTTGAAAGGCGTTCGTTCTATCTACTTTCCTAGTATCTAGGGCATTTTTGGAGTTGTGGTGTGGCGCTACAGGATAATGCGCTGGACTGCAAGGTCAAATTGAACTGAAAAGTTGATGGTTCAAACCCACCTCAGAAACCCTATTCAGGGTCACTGTCTGTGGGAACTGACTTGACAACAAAAACAAGGTATTTTTAACTGAGGATTTTTTTTTATATTCTAGCAATTAAGTGCAAATGACTCAGAACTCTACGTACTTCTGCCTTGAACAATTATCTACAGTGCTGGGTGACTTTTTTTTTTTTTTTATCACCAAGGAGCCTCGGAAACCCTGTACAGGGTCGCTATGAGTTGGAACCGACTCCACAGCACATAACCACCACCACCAGGAGACTGAGGAAGGCCAAGCCAAGTACGATCCAATGAGACAGGAGAGAATCTGGAGGGATTTGTTTCTTAAATGTTACTTTTTTGTACCTCTTACTCTGTGTACTCATAAACACAAAATTAATTCAGCAACTATCTTGGTGTTAACATATCTGTGTCCTGAAAGAATCCAGTTTAATTTCTCTATGCCCGCATTTGTTATCGTGATAAGAAACTCGACAGCAGAACTATTGTGGGTAGCTGTGTTTTGAAAGATGTGTGTTCTGTGCTATTTTTTCTCAGGGGCATTGAAATCTAAGTACTTTTTTTTTTTTTTTTGTATTACTAATGGATATCACTGTATTATTAATAATACTCCTGGAACTAACATGTAAATTATTAGGAAATAATTAAATCTATGACTATAGTCATTATTATGGTGGTGGTGGTTACGTGCCATGGAGTTGGTTCCGACTCATAGCGGCCCTGCACAGGGTTTCTGAGGCTGTAAATCTTTATGGGAGCAGAAAGCCTCATCTTTCTCCCGCGGAACAGCTGGTAGTTCCGAACTGCTGACCTTGAGGTTCTCAGCCTGATTCGTAATCGCTACGCTACAAGAGCTCCTTAGTCGTTATTATACAGCAGCTAAAAGTATGTGGTCTTTGAACATTTTATTAAATATTTGTTGTTGTTGTGAAGTGCCGTCGAGTCGGCACCGACCCATAGCAACCCTGTACAGGGTTTCTGAGGAGCAGCTGGTGAGCTTGAATCACTGACCTTGCAGTTCATACAGCTTTGCCGTCTAGCACATTAACCCACAGTGGTCACACCAGGACTCCTTATTAAATATTCTTAGTAGAAAAATATCTACAGATATATAAACTACTTCAGGAAGAGCTAGAGCATTTCACTTAAGACAAGCCTTTGGCATTTTAGAAAACAATCCGAGTTGTTCTATGCTTGCAATGGTTAGTCCAGTGTTTACTGCTTTAGAAATAAAATAGACATCAGCAACATGTGCGTGTGTGTAAGGATGCTGTTTTCATTAGCTACTGCTGAGTTGGCTCCATCCAGCTCATGGTGGTTTCACAGACAGCAGAATGACAGTTGCCAACTTCAGGACCGTTGGTCAGCTTGTGTGGCTTTGATACGTACATACAGTATACACACATCCACACATCCATATGCACACACACTACAGAAAGGACCTAGGGAAGTTTATAGTACGTAACAACAGCAGACACAGAAAAGGAAGAGAAGGCTGCAAGGATGTGATGTGAGTAAAGGAGTGTGGAAGACCTATGCTACAACTTACTAAAATTAGGTAGGGCGTTTGGTTTTGAGCCAGACTGAAAAGTCGGTTTGAACTGCAAGGTTGGCGGTTCAAGCTCACCAGCCTCTCCTTGGAAACCCTATACAGGGTCACTAGGGGTTGGAACCGACTCCATGGCACTTAACAACAATGACCAAATGGGAGTCCTGGTGTGGCGCTATAGGATAGGCACTGGACTGCTTTCCAGAAGGTTGGTGGTTCAAACCCACAAGCTGCTCCTTGGAAACCCTCTACAGGGGGGCTATAAGTCATAACTGGATTGATAGCACTTAACAACAACAACAACAACAATGGCCAAAACAGCCTAGGAGGTTGAGTGTGTTAAGCATTGGACTGCTTACCTAAAGATCAGACTGTTTACCTTAAGGTCAGTGGTTCACCATAAAGTCTGCTGTTGAAACTCACCAGCTGCTACATGTTAGAAAGAGGAGACAGTTTGCTTCTGAAATGACTTATGGACTCAAAACCCCTATGGAGCAGTTGTACTCTGTCCTCTCGGGTCACTCTCAGTTGAAATTGATTTGACAGCAGTGGGTAAATGACTAAAGAAATATTTTAACATCAACACTGATTATAGGAACGAAAACCAAAAATATACCTGTTCTGAGCACAAAACATACAACATAATGCCTGTCATACAGATCTCAAAGAATTGTCTTGATTGAATCTTCAAAGACAGGACACTAAACCGTGTACATCAGCATGACATCAGCATGATCCCCTCCAAGAAATGCATAGGAGGTTTTCCTCTGTCCTCTCCTAAAGGATCATGACGCTACAAAGACACCTGGGAAGGCAACAGTGGGTACAGACAGACTGGCCAGCCATGCGGTTTATCTGAATTTGAGAATATAAGCACTGGACTACCATCCGCAAGGTCAGTGGTTCAAACCCATCATCTGCTCCTTGGAAGCCCTGTACAGGGTCGATATGAGTGGGAATCAATTCAACAGCACTTACCAACAAGGCCAACAACAAACTAGAATACTTAGGAATGAATGGACCACAAGTCTTTTAAACTGGCTTCTAAGTGTTCTGTTTTTCTCAGTTGCTAAATAGATGAAAGTTAATTACCAGTTGGAGTTTCTGTCTTCGGCAGGAGTTCTGCAATGCTATCTAAGGGCAAGTCTTTAAAAACTAATGGCCCATCACTGGAATGGGTGGGTTGAAGGAATACCTTCAGGTGTCTCAGAATTGCAGAGTTTTGTCAATGAATAAACAAATGAGCCCTTTAAGGACCCAATATTTTACACAACACAACACAGCAGCAAGGAACAAAGATTTAGGTGGTATTTTTCTACACTTTGGATTATGAGAGTACTTTTTCAGCACTGGTGTTTGAATCACCAGGGTAGGCTGTTAAATGCATCTACCCAGACTTCATGAGGTAAAGCAGGTACGTTCAGGAGGGGCCTTGTTGTTGTTAAGTGCCTTCAAGTCGATTCTAACTCATAGCAACTCTATCTAGGGAATGGCTGGTGGGTGAACCGCTGGCCTAGAAGTTCAAACTGACCTTGCAATCCAGTGCATTACCTTGCAGTGCCACACGAGGACCTCAGGTGAGGCCTAGGAGTTGGGTGATTCTCTTGAAGGGGCTCTAGGAATAACTCCTGGAGTACATTAATCGGAGGTAGAGATTTTAGGTCAGAGTTCTCTTACTTTGGGCTGTCTTTCGTTCTAACCCCTCTACCAGAACTTAACATGGACGAGAACAATCAGTAACTCAACACTGATGCTGTTTGTTATAAAGTTTTTAGAAACAGAGGAAGACGATGAAACTTCTGGTTAGCACACTCTTTCATTATTGGTAGATTTTTCATTCATTCCATATGATCTGAGTGCGTGCTATGTGCATCATTTAAGGGGCTAGGGATTTGTCAGTGAACAAGAGGGACACGGCCCCTGCTTTTTAACAACATCATTAGTTCTTCCCTGAGACCCTCATAGAATAAGAGCACTCCTCACATGTGTTGATATTTCATATTCTGATCCAGTTTCCTTAGCTCTCTCAAATAAACACTTTGTTACATGCTTAATTGAAGGACCTCCTCCCTCCAAGTTACTCTTGAGAGTCTGAAAATCTATAAAATGAGAGCTGCCTTGAACTTGTTATGTAACAAGGAGTAAATGGCTGTTTTGTTTTCTATTGTCGTTGTTAGGTGTCATCCAGTTGGCACTCACTCATAGCGACCCTGTGCCAATCTCACACTCATTGCTACAGTGACTTGCTTTATATCTAGAAGTTCACTTTCCATAAAAAGAATTAGCTTTCAACAGATTTAAACAATCTTTCTATTGACTACATGGAGGTAAAAAAAAAAATAAATAAAAATTCAACAACATGTGCTTCAAGCTATAAACAGTTTGAGCACTAAACTTAAAACGACTTCAAAAGAAAACAACACAAAACACTGAAAAATAAACAAATGTAAAACACATGTCAACATTAAAAAGTCTTCACTAAAAATATTTTCATTTTATAACAGTGCTAGGCTATATAAAGCATGAAATTCTTTGAGTTACAATTAACATAGTACCACGGTGCATAAAGAGTTTACCTGCTCTTGCTTTTTGTTGTTGTTTTCATACAAGGAACATGCCCACATGTAATAGGACATAAGGCCAATAGTGGTTTTATATGAAAAACCAGCAAGCAGAGAAAATGTGGCATAAAGGCCACATCTTCTGAAAAGTGCATCTTCTACCATCAGTTAGAAACTTTTTGACTAAATATTAATTGGAGTAATGGAGAAAGGACTACAGGTACCCAATTACTCAGTGGACGCTATCTCTTATTCATTTAAGTTTGAACCAAAGTTCCTTCATGATCTACTTTCAAATAACTGGTTCTTATACCTGTGTCTTTTACTACAAGCTGTCTACACACTGCTTTAGAAAACAAGCAGATATTAATCAATAATTGCATTAATAACTGAGCAAGACTACTCACTAACCAAAGATAAAAAGATATATATATATTTAAACTATTTGGTTAGTGAAAATGCTTTCTTTTGCAATCTTTTGGAAGGCGTTTTTACCTGCAGATGGCCGGGAAACACTCTTGAAGACCTTTCTTTTTAACCAAAGATCCTTCCAGGCAGTACATGATGATGTCCATGACCTTACACAGAAGAAGATACAGATCAAAACTAACTTCAAACACTTAATTCTCTGAAATGTAAATGAATAATTGAGGCCTCCTTTGCCCAGGACAATTCTAGAGAGTGTTGTTTTAACGTTTACTTTAAAACAAAACAAAAGCAAATGTCAACACGCCTATTCAACAGGCCATCCTGGAAACAAGTTGAAACAGTCTACAAGACAGTGCAGTGCAACAGGGAGACGGCATTATTTATTTTAAAGGTCATTCATATTTATGTGTGGTATTGATAGCTTAGATTTAAGCACACTTTGCCTTCTTATTCTATTTATAAAGACAGATGTGAATGAGAACAGAACCTTTAAAACTTACTCTAACACAGACCCATTCCAGGTAAATAGACATAGCGCTTTGAGGGACTTTAAATAAAGGCCTCCAGAAATGGTAGGGGAGCTCATTCATTTTAGTTACTACTCACCCACCCACCCATTCACTCTCATAGATATGTTGGAAGTTTAGACGCCGATTTCCCGTACTGAACTGGAATATTTCAATCTGTTGAAGCAACATTTGAAGCAAGAGAGTCTTACCTCCACAAGAAGATCCACCACGTCTGCGGGCATCTTTTCGATGAGAATTTCAATGACTCGGAGAATCTCCCCTTTAGCACGAGCCAGAGTTGTGGTGTGAATACTCTGCTGTGATTGGGCGTTTGCTGCAAGAGCAGTATGTCTGTGCACCTAAAAAAACATTTCCACAATGCAGATCAGGTGACACTGGACAGCATCTTGCATTTCTAGCCACTGGCTTCTTTTCTTTTTCCTTGTTAATAAAATAAGCAGCGCTGGTGGCACAGATTGTTAAATGTTGGCTTACTATAAAATTACAAGGTTGGTGGTTCAAACCCACCTGGTCCTCTGTGAGAGAAAGATGAGGCAGTCAGCTCCCATAAAGATGTATAGCCTTGGATGCCCTATGGAGTAGTTCTCTTCTGTCCTTTAGGGTGGGTCAGCAAAAACCGACCTTGTGGAGTGATCCAAGAATGCTGCCAGCACCAGGAGCCTCCTCAACATGCCCAAGAGTGAGGAGACCCCAGAGGAGCTGCAGAAGCAGGGGGAGGGGAGGAGTTTACCACGGGGGCCCCTGTCGGTGCTCACGCAGTCGGTCAAGAACAACACCCAAGTGCTCGCCAACTGTCGCAACAACAAGAAGCTGCCGGACCGCGTGAAGGCTTTCCACAGGCCCTGCAACATGGCACTGGAGAAAGTGACAGAGATGTGGACCGAAGTCTGCAAGAATGGCAAAGGCATGAAGAAACCCTAGCCTGTCAACAAGGATGGCTACATCTCCAAGATGTTCCTGCGTGGGGACTCTGTCATCGTGGTCCTGCGGAACCCACTCATCATCAGCAAGTAGGGGCCCAGAGCCGCCTCCCGCCACCCCATGAAGACCTGCCCTGTGTTGGGAATAATAAAGTCTGTCTTTTCTTAAAAAAAAAAAACAAAAAAAAAACCAACAACAAATAAACCCCCAAACCTACCTCATAGGGTGGGTCAGGAAATAATTCTGACTGCAAAAAGAAACTATTTAGATAATAAGAACTCAGTAAGCACTGTTTAATAAAAATGTCTAAGTAGCGTAGTGGTTATGAATCGGGCTGCGAACCTTAAGGTCAGCGGTTCGAAACTACCAGCCGCTCCGCGGGAGAAAGATGAGGCTTTCTACTCCCGTAAAGATTTACACCCTCGGAAACCCTGTTACAGGGTTGCTATGGGTCGGAACTGACTCAACGGCACTTAACAACAACAACAACAAGTTCTTTGTTATTATATAAGAATTTAATATAGTGTTATCCTTACAATTTGAGAAACAGACAGACTGAAGATTCGTGAAGTCATTACATGTGGCATTGAGGTGAGAGACAGGGTATGCCCACAGTGCATAAGTACTGGCTCTTAAGGAATAACAAACTTGTTGTTGTTGTTAGTAAGGGCAGTTTTGAGTCAGTTCCAACTCATAGCAGCTCTGTATAGGGTTTTTGAGGATGGACTGGTAGGTTTGATCCACTGACTTTGCAGGTACAGTTCAGTGCACCAATAAAGCACTTACTATCTAGTACTAAGTACTTTATTGGAGAACTATCTAGTACTAGGAGGAGCTCTGGTAGCGTAGTGGTTACGAATCAGGCTGCGAACCGCAAGGTCAGCAGTTCGAAGCTACGAGCTGCTCCATGGGAGAAAGATGAGGCTTTCTGCACCGTAAAGATTTACAGCCTCGGAAACCCTGTTCAGGGTCACTATGGGTCAGAACCAACTCGACGGCACATAACAACAACATCTTGTACTAGGAGTCCTGGTGTGGTGCTATGAGCTAATGCACTAGATTGCAAAGTTGGTTTGAACCACAAGGTTGGTGGTTCAAGCTCACCATCCGCTATACAGGGTCACTATGGGTCAGAATTGACTTGACAGCAAGTAACAACATCAGTCTAGTACTAACAGTAAAAAGCACAAACCTGGCACTAACTATATCCCACGTTGGGCTCCTGGTGTGGCGCTGTAGGATCAGCACTGGACTGTGAACCACAAGGTCAGCAGTTCAAACCTACCAACTGCTCCTTGGAAACCCTACAAAGGGTTGCTATGAGTTGGAACCTACTCCACGGCACTTAACAACAACAACAACAACATATCCTAAGCACCATTTTAAGAACTTTACAATCAAGTTGGGAAATCAGATTAATAAGTAAGAGACATTAAAATCAATATAAAGTCAGTGACTTTTTTTTGCAGTTCAGGGTGTGAAGAGCATTATTGCTGCCCAGGGAGTCATGCAGGAACGGGGCTCATGGGATAGTCAGTGCAGGCGTGAGGGACAGTGAAAATGCAGAGCAACACATATGTTTACTTGGCTACGCTAAAAGTGGGTACCTTGTTTTTTAAAGGTAATATACTAGGGGGCATCAAAAAGTTCATGGCAAGTGGAATTAGAACATAATGAAGCCCCCTTGGGATGTGGACAATTACCATGAACTATTTTCAAATTACTTTCCTAGCCAAATGCTGAAGTAAAATAAACCCAAAGAATGAATATTCTAACATTTCACTGAAAAACCACTCAAATGCAAATGGTGCAAACTTGCATTCAAAACCAGAACTGCTTACTCCCTTTCACAGACAGCTGAACGTCCACAGGACCTCTGCATGCGGCCTGACGGCTGTGACGTTACGCAGGGATAAAATGGTAACGTTGTTCTATGACAAAGAAATTATTCATTTATACACACATGCGCACATGCACTGTACATAAATGTAAATATATCACATACCCATACAGATAAAAGCCATATTTTAAAATATAGTGGAACCTCCCAATAACACTTTGTACTACAGGAAAAACACACTCTCTTCATTCTAAAATTGGATTTGAGTTATGAACCCAAAATTCCACAGTCTCGTACAAACATATAAACTGCTATTAGGACCTTCCTTCCTCCCTTCTAGCATCTTCAAGTCACAAATACTTGCCGAGTGCCTATTAAGAATGGCTCTGGGGCAGACACAGGCCCAAAAGGTTTGAAGGGATCAGGTAGACTCAGAAGATATTTATTCAGTATTTTTAAAATTCATCATAGCTGCAGGAAAAACAACTCAGACACAGCCCATACCCCATGGACACTAAGTCTGCACATTACTCATGCAGAGATGGAGCAAACCTTTAAAAACAAAACCACACACACACACAAAAAACCACTGGAAGCTTATATCCCTTTCCTTTTACTTCCCCTTCTAAGACCTTCAAGCTTCTTTAACAGAAAGATCTCATAATTGGTTCATTGCTCTTTATTCGTGTTTTTCAGTTAGATGTGGGCAATTAGTTAGGACACTAAGAATCAACTGGCATTCAAGTCTTTATCTGTGACAGGTAATAGGGAAAACAATTAGCACGTTTATGACTTACATTTTTGTTTACAGTTGGAAAGCTCAGTGCCAAATAAAAAGTTAGTCTTAATTACAGGAAGATACTTACACTTGTAAAATATGAATACCTTTTAAATATTTTAATTTGTATAAGCCTACTATAATTCAGATAGAAAAACTACTATCAAATATTTACAAGGAAGTAAGTTAACTTGAACAGAAATGAACACAAAAGCACACATAGGACGTGCCCAGTTTCCATTCTGGTGATGAAAAATTTGGCACAGGATACTGGTAATGAGTGCACATCATGATTAATATAACTGCTGTCACTAAATCGTACACGGGAAAAATCTGGAGTTGGTAAATGTTATTATGATGCCACTGGACTGCTAACCACAAGGTCAGCAGTTCAAACCCACCACCTGCTCCTTGGAAACACTATACAGGATCCCTATGAGTTAGAAATGATTCAATACAACTTAACAACAATGACAATAATATTATGATATATATTATAGGTAGAATTTGGCTATAAGCAGAGAAAACCAGAAAGATATATTCCCCGGTGCTTTGTTAATTATGCAAATCCATTAGACTGTGTGGATCAGAAAAAATTATGGATAACACTATGAAGAACAGGAATTCTAGAATGCTTAATTATACTTATGTGGAACCTCATGTGGAACCTATATGTATACACAGACAAATAGGCAGTCATTCAAACAGACCAAGGGGATACTTCATAGTTTCAGCAAAGGTATCTGCTCACCGTATGTAATCAATCTGAATGTATTCACCATACGTATTCAATCTGAAAGCTGAGCAAATATTCGGAGCAGCTGCAGGGCATGAAGACCACTGCATCAAAGCTGAAGGTTCATTAATAACCTGCGATATGCAGGTAACACAACCTGACTTGCTGAAAGTGAAGAGGACTTGAAGCACTTACTGATGAAGATCAAGACTACAACTTTTAGTAAGGAGCTCTGGTAGCGTAGTGGTTATGAATCGGGCTTCTAACCTCAAGGTCAGCAGTTCAAAACTACCAGCGATTCCATGGGAGAAAGATGAGGCGTTCTGCTCCCGTAAAGATTAACAGCCTCGGAAACCCTGTACAGGGTCGCTATGAGTCGGAACTGACTCTACGGTACTTAACAACAACAACAACAACACCTTCACATAAAACAAAATCCTCACAACTGGCGAATAAGCAACCAACAGCCTCATAAATAGAGAAAAGATGGATGCTGTTAAGGATTTCATTTTACGTGGATTCACAATCAACGCTCACGGAAGTAGCAGTCAGAAAACCAAACCAGGTATTGCAATGGTTAACTCTGCTGCAAAGATCTCTTGAAAGGGTTATATAAAGCAAGCATGTCACTTTGAGGACTGAGGTGCGTCTGACCCAAGCCGTGGTATTTTCAGTCACCACAAGAGTGACACAATGAATAAGGAGAACTAGAGAATCAAGGTTTTTGAATTATGGTATTGGTTGAGAATACTAGATCTATAATGGACTCCCAGAAGAATAACTAAATCAGTTCAGCCAGCATGTTGTTCCCTAGAAGGAAGGATGGTGAGGATTTTGTCTCATGTACTTTGGTTCTGCTCTCAGTCCCTAGAGAAGGAATTCATGCTCGGTCAAGTCGAGGGTCAACAAAAAAGAGAAAGATTCTTAAGGAGACGAACTGACATGGTGGCTACTACAACCGGCTCAAACAGTGTGAGGATGGCACAGGACGGGGCAGAGGGCTTTTTCTGTTCTATTGTTACTAAGGAGCTCTGGTAGCGTAGTGGTTACGAATAGGGCTGCTAACCTCAGGGTCAGCAGTTTGAAACTACATGCTGTTCCACAGGAGAAAGATGAGGCTTTCTGCTCTTGTAAGGATTTACAGCCTCAGAAACCCTGTACAGGGTCGCTATGAGTTGGAATCAATTCCACAGCACACAACCACCATAGCCAGGTTGTTGTTATGTGCCGTCCAGTTGGTTAAGACTCAAAGCATCCCTGTATAGGGTTTCCAAGGAGCAGCTAGTAGGTTTGAACCTCCAACCTTGTGACTAGCAAGCAGTCCAGTGCTTATCCTACAGCGCCATACCAGGATTACTATTATTTTATCGATGTTGTTAAGTGTCACTGAGTCGGTTCTGACTCCTAGAGGCCCTGGGTAGGGTTTCTGATGGGCGGCTGGTGAGTTTGAACTGCCAACCTAAAGGTTCAAACTGACTTTGAGGTCTAGTGCTTACGGTATGGTACACACCAGGACTCCTCTGTTCAATACAGCATTGCTATAAGTTGGCACCGACTCAACAGCACCAAACAAAACCATATACATATTAAAGGGATAAAAATGTAAAAGTTGTTATGTGCCGTGGGGTCGGTTCCGACTCATAGCGACCCTGTACAGGGTTTCCAAGGCTGTAAATCTTTATGGGAGCAGAAAGCCTCATCTTTCTTCCACGGAACAGCTGGTAGTTTCGAACTGCTGACCCTGAGGTTAGCAGCCCAATTCGTAACCACTACGCTACCGGAGTACATGGCAATGAATTCTCCACTGTGGAATTTAGTGTGTCCGCACACAGGCACATAATAGATTCATTCCAGTGTGAAATGATAACTTGTCCAGTTCTAGAACCAACTGGAAGGACTAATGTAGACCTGACCTCTCAGAAGCCGGGGGCCTACTGGACCACTCCACTCACCTCTTTGGCTATGGTAGTGATGAAGGCAGGGGGTCTGGCAGTGGCAATGAGGGAGAGGGCATGCCTTGCAGAGCGGGCGGAGTCAGCTGCTGGGCTCAGAGGCAGCCCCATTGTGATGCTAAACAGGGAACAGGGAACAGGAAAAAAGAAAAGAAGCATTAGAAATATAGACTGAAAAGATTAGACACAGCTTATAATGTCAGTTCAAGGTCAACGGGAGCACTCAAACAGTTAGAATATAATGGACTTGCAACAATGAGCAGTGATTAGGAGTCAGGGTGTTCTGGCATCAAATACAAAATCGAATAATTAAGCGTGAAGATTGAAAACAGTATGCGCATCTGTCCAAAGTGTTAAAAAGGCCTTGTTAACAAATTATCAAGAGCCTGTCCTGAATACATATCACAAAGCTCAGAATAAGCAAGGGCACACCTCAGGCTGGGTATTATCAAAATTCTTTCCTAAAAATTAAAGGTAATAATTTACTTACAAGAGTATATTCCAAAGGCTGTATTTCAGGCCCTATATCTGAAGGGAAGCACACTCACATAAAGCACTTCCATGTCCATAAAATCACCCAAAAAACCGAGGCGGACATAATTACTGCTTCTGGTGTGGTGCTGTAGGATCAGCACTGGACTGCTAACCACAAGGTTGGTGGTTCAAACCCACCAGCCACTCCTCAGAAATCCTATATTGTTGTTAACTGCCACTGAGCTGGTTCTAACTGATAGCGACATTGTACAAGGTACTGAGGAGCAGCGGGTGGGTTTGAACTGCTGACCTTGTAGTTCGCAGTCCAGTGCTGATCCTACAGCACCACACCTGGACCCCAGAAACACTACAGATGGTTGCTGTGAGAAGGAACTGACTCAGTGGTACTCAACAACAACAACAAAGTTCAGATATTACTTTTACTTTGAAGTGTCCACAGCACAGCTAGTTTACTCTTTACTGGGTCCTTTCAGAACCAATCTCCTACTCAACATATTCTGCCAATAATCACTGAGTAATAATTTAAATTAAAAAAAAAAAAAGAGTCCTGGTGTGTTGCTGCAGGATAAAGCACTGGACCACAAAGTCAGCTTCACCTGCAAGGTCGGCGGTTCAAACCTACCAGCCGCTCCTCAGAAACCCTATACAGGTTCACTATGAATCAGAACCGACTCGACGGCACTTAACAACAACGACAAATTGATTTAAAAAAAAAAGTTACATGAAACGATATTAATTCTGTCTGTACATCATTCAGGCTATGAAAAGGGTTATGTGCAGGGTGAAATCTTTCCAAATTCTAGTCAGCAAGGCCAGGCAGGGGCGTGCTGCTGTCCTCCTGGACTGATCCATAAACTCGATCTACTTTCTTGTTTCCAAACTTTCTTCATGCTTTATAGGCAGCACCATCAAAAATACTGGAGTCCTGGTGAGGCGCTGCACAGTAATGCGCTGAACTGCAAGCTCACGTTGAACCACGAGGTCGGCGGTTTAAACCCACCAGCTGCTCCTCGGAAACCCTACCCAGGGTCGCGGTGGGTCAGAACCAACTCAACAGCACTTAACAACAACATCAAAACTAGTACAACTTTTAATTAAAGTGTGGCAAGACATCCATATATTTTGCTACTCAGTAAGAGATCTGACTATTGCTTCTCCCTTGAGTTACGTCATTTCTGTATTTTAAATATGCATATGAAGTTAAAAGAAAGTTTCTTTAAGTCTATGTGTTTCATGTGTAAACTGGATTATGGTTACCAAAAATAAAATAAAATAATAGTTCATAGGTAAGTCTACAATTGATCTAAGGATCATTACTCTAACTTTTAGATGAAAATAAAGTTGCACTGCACTGGCAGTTTCATCGTCGATCAAAAAAAGGTAAACTGATTACAGAAAATTTTGCTTATAATCTCTTGGTGATGGTAAATGCGGTTCAGATATTTTGCTGATAACATAACTGTCTCTGATCCCTTCCAACCTGTGGGAGGTTGTGAAGCAGGAACCCAGGAGAGGATGACTGTGGTCTCTGATCCCTTCCAACCTGTGGGGCGTTTGAAGCAGGAACCAAGGTCTTACACCCACATATTGAAGAGCCATCGTCTCCTATGGGAGATTCTAATGCTATCTGTGCCCAGGAGACACTGGGAAAGTTGTTCAGCAGGAAAGCAGGATGGGCATTCAGTTTCTCGTCTCTTCTGGACTAAGCGTTACTACTGAGAATTCAGCAAAGAAAATGTCGCTACGTGAGTAAGTGCCAGAGCTGGACTGCTAATTCATTATTGTGAAATTTAGACAAGATCGCCCTCTTTGGACTCTGATTATGGCACTGTAGGCCCAGCACTAGACTGAAAATCACAAGGACAGCGGTTCAAACACACCAGCTACTCCTTGGAAACCCTTTACAAGGTCGCTATGAGTTGGAACCGACTTGACAGCACTAAACAGCAGCCCTCTTTTAAATCTAGTTTTTTAAAAAATTGCAAGCCATTTAAAGTTTTCAGATATTCTGTGATATTTCCCCTTTTTAAAAATTTTTTAATCAATGTAGATAAATAGGTGTTGATGATGGTGAAAGGCTGAAACAAACAAGACTGGTATTCTAATTGAATAATTCTGGAGGAAAAAACCCCAGAACCTAAATCAAATTTGTAGGATCAATAAAATCAAAGAATGTTGGAGTTGGCAAATATCCCCCAGGCACCATTCCCTCCAAGAGAACAGTTGTCTGGGGAGAAGGGAAATCTGTCCACTGGCCAGAGAGCCCAAGCAAGAAAGCTGGACTTTCCAGAACTACCTTAGGGACTTCTGCTTGTCCCAGGACTTCCCTATGTGGTAAGGCGTTATCTCACAAAGGAGACATCAGATCTAAGAAGTTAGATGAGGAGTCAAGGAATTGTCTGATGTTCCATGTAGGAACTTCAAAAAGTAAGAATATCAAGTGGATTTTAAGATGTAACACTGTTTTAAATGGGGATAAAACTTTAAAATACAGGGTAACCCTCAAAGAAAATGACTATATCTTCACATCAAACTAAAAAAGAGGGAAAATCAGAAAGATTCGGTGAACATTAACACAAGAGAAATGAAAATAAAAAGGAAACCCACAAACTAAACAAACTCAGTACAGAAAATGATGTGGAACAAAGAAACCAGTGAATGAACCTGGAGGACATTATGCTGAATGAAATTAATCACCAAAGACAAACTGTTGTGAAAATTTAAGAAAAAGTTTTGTTGATAAGAGAAAAATTCTATGATGTAATTATAGTGGGGTGGTACATGGAGAGGGGAGGGTAGAAGGTAAACACATGTTAACATAGGTGGCAGGAAGGGCAATATACAATGAGAGGGCGGTTGGCAGAGGAAAAATGAAGGTGGTGGGAGACACAGGGAGGAATGCAAGAGCTAAACTAAAGAGAGGAAAATACTGTGAACTGACTAAATGGAGGGGATTGCAATCATTGAATATGACTTGTTAGCCGCCAAACTGATGATCTGCTCCATAAACCTTCACTCAATTCACAATGCAAAGATTTAAAAAAAAAAGAATCTGTGTACAAATGGAATGAAAAGATAATGGAATTTTTCCACAAACTTTTTTGAAGCACCCTATCATACAAGATTTTATAGTACTTGGCTTTATCTTCTTGAGCTGATCTTTGAAATTTCCTGTTCAGCTCGTGCACCTCTTCAATTTTTCCATTTGCTTTGGCTTCTCTACGTTGGAGAGCAAGTTT